ACGTTGTATTTCGAACACTATGCCCCTCTGCGCGGCAGGACACAAGAACTACCTCTCGTGGGCCATGGCGTGCGCGAACTTTTCGAAGCCTGAGCCGACAGTAGACACTTCAACACACCCCCAGGCCCCCGCCACACCCACATCGCTACACATGCAAAACTCTCACCCCCGCCGCCGAAACCCAAGGAACTCGTGTGGAGCAGCACTCTAGGCAACAGGCTGAGCAGCACCGAGCACCACCCTCTCGGGGGCGGGGCGGGGTGCGGCGACCCCAGAGGGCTCGTGTTGTGTTGCGGCGAGGAGACACGAATCACTCAGGCGCGGCGCCGCCAGGGCGTCCACGCCGTAATGATGAATCACGTCCGGCGATTCAATACAATACGTCATTGACACAGTCCTTAAACACCCAGAAAACGGTTTCTTGAAACTAGTGAATTTCCTTGAAATTAGCCTCGAATCAACAAAATTGACCTAAAAGAAAAATAAAGAAAATATTTCCTTTCTTTAAGGAAAACAAAAATCCTAAATTTAGAAAAAAAGATTTCAACTTCAGGAATTTTTGTCGTTAAACCAAATAAATTGTTTTCGAACAAGAGAAAAATTTCCTTATGTTTTTTAAGGAAACTATTTTCTGAGTGAAACGCACGAGCTTTTGGTTTGCATTTTCGGTCAGTTGTTTTGCGGTGCAGTTTTGCGCTTGCAATAAGTGCAACAGGGCGATGCGTTATACGAGGTGATCACTCGCCCAAATAATCCCGCTCGGGGACGTTAATTTGGCGGGCAGTTGTGCGCTGTATACCGCCTTCATGCCCCATACGACACTGCCGCCGGCAATATTCACGTTCAAACCAACATTTCGACGTAAAGCACGAATTTGAAGCGCAAAGGCGAACTACAATTCCCCCCCCCCCCCCGCCGTAGTTTGATATTATTTGTTTGTGAAAGTTCATGAAATAGCGGTTGTTTGAATGATTTCGGTACACTTATTATTTTCATTGTAAGATTTGAAAGTTCTAAATGAACACTCTGTAAACCTATGTACAGCACTGCCCTACAGTTAGTTTTAAGTTGCTATGACTTCATTTTGCAGTTGTAAGTGGCGAACTGAAACGTTCCGCAGTTATTGCAACTGCAAAATGGAAGTGTTCGAATTTCTTGAATCGCAATGAAATTTGTATTCGTACAAAAGTTAGGTCTCGGGAGGCGTTTTCAGAGTGCTCGGCAATGGATTTAGAGTTTTGATCCTGAAATTGTGACCAAATACCCAGATTAGACTGAAGCAGACGACACGCAGAGCGGAGAACTACGCTCGCAACAGGGTGTGCCGGGTTTACTTTTCCATTTGACCGCGGTATCAGGTATCCGCATTCCCATTACAATACGCGTTATGGAGACACGCTCTTTTACTGTGGAAGGGCACGGCAACAAGTAGTTAAAGGGTCGCAGGGAGCGGGCGGGGGCGAGGGGCGCCAGCGTGTAGCTACTGCTACTGGTCCCCATCAATCAAGCCGGCAGCAACACAACCATCGCCACCCGCAACTCATGTGCGGACGCGTGAGGACATCGTGCTAATGTATGTTGTCTATAGCGGGACATAAGACAGCCATAATGGGGGAAAGGCTTTCCTACACAGTTTAAGTCAACAGAGATAAACATTATTTTGGAACAATACAAAAAATAAAATTATGAATGTGGAACTTGTAACTACGCTCTATAGTGTGTGTAAATTTGATATTGCGATATTCCTACACTGCTCTGCCATGGACCCAGGAGTAGGCAAGCTCGCAGCCCTGCAGATTGCAGGAGCGTAGTATAAATATAGTATAAATTGCCTCCCTTCCGAGCGGCTCGACGGCCGACGGGGCGATCGGTCACCACAACTACAACTATTTCTCATAGTGAAAGGAAAATAGTGATAGGATAGTAATGCAATGTTGCACGACGTGCATGCTTGCACTCGGTCTGCAACGCGCCGCGCTGTGAGTCCGGCAGAGGACAGAGTCGAGTGCAGCGCGCGACACTCGAACAATATCGGAGCATCGCACATCATGTATCCGCGCTCAAAAGGAAGAGCGACGCGGGCGTGGAGGGGGCTGCAGGCTCTGGGGTATAGGAGCGCCAGGAGCGACGCGCACGGGGGCGAGGAGGATAAGGCGACCAGCCTGTCTCAAAAGTCAGGAGGAAAAATAACGAAAACAGCAGCCCCCCCCGATATTGGAAAGTTATTTCAACAAGTAGCGGCGGCAGGCAGTAGCGGGGAGAGGGCGTCATCGCGACGGGATGGGACGAAAAATGACGAAGACAGGAGAGAGGGGCGAAATTGTGCGTCCCGCCGTGGCCCGTCCGCCCCACACCCAGTGGAATGTCCCGGGCCAGCCGAGGTGACGTGAGGGATGCCTTCCCTCGCGTTCCTTCATTTCTATTTGCCAGAAAACTCACTCCACCACCCCCTTTGCTGTTGCCACTATTACGTGGGGTTGGGGTTTTCCAATTTTCCGAAGTTGGCGTTATACCGGAACGGGAAACTGGGCGCAAGTATGGCAGTTGGGCTGGGCGAGTGAGGAGAAAGTACCTCGCAACGCCTATGCCTTCCTGTCGCTGGCCTATGGGCATTCACGCGACTGCACTGTTCTAAGCAATCGTTCGATAAACGACTTTTCAACCGATAATATTCTTGTTGCCATGGAACACATACGTTGCTAACAAACGTACGACATTATTTCCCTAACAGTGTGTGACGCCGATGCAGGACGCGGTCTGCCGAAGCGGGCGGTGCGGTCCCGAACAAATATAACGACGAGTTTCGGCGCTGCTAACAAGCACGCGTGTTGCATCTCCCGCCCCTCAGAGGAGCTCATGTCGCCTCGCCACCCAATCGGCAGGCGCGCCCCGCGCC